TCATCTATGTGTGCGTGCCTGGAAAATATACTGCCAGGGTAAGTGAACTTATCCCCAGCGTTCAGAATTTCTCCGTTCGCTCCAGTGGTTCCGTGTATAGATGGTACAGTGCTGGCTGGTGGAGAACCTTTGTTTTGTTGGTGTTAATTGTCAGGCCAAAATTAGCACAAGAGGCAAAGAATCATCCATAATATTTACCATTAGTACCATAGCTGATGTTGATGACATTTTCATCCTCACTGAAGGCGTGTGACAACATTGCTGAAAACATCTTGCTAAAAAGCACTGGAACAAGCACACAGCACTGCTTCACTCCTTTGGTGACTGGGAAAATGCCAGAACCCAAGTAGGCATGGAATTGGTGTACAATACTGATGAATTTCACCAGGTAACCAAATTTTGCCATGATCTTCCATAAGACCTCACAACTGACAGCATCAAAGGCCTTGATCAGATCCATGAGCATTGTGTGCAGACCTCTGTTCTGGAATTTCTTCTAGAGTTATGGAGAAGCAAACACCATATTGACCATTCCTCAGACCTTTCAGAAGCCATATTGGCTCTCGGGTAGATGACCATCTTCCAGGTGAAGGATCAGCCTATTAAAGAAGACTCTGGCAAGAATCTTATTGGCAATGACTAAGAGAAAGACCCCTATGATTGTCACAGGACAACCTATTTCCCTTTCCTTTATAGAGATGGACAACGGAGGCATCCTTGAACTCCTGGGGGATAACCTCCTCTTACCATATAACCTGGAAAATTTTAGTCATATTTCATATGAACAGTATACTCCCTGCCTTGTAAATCTCAGCTGAAATAGAATCCAGGCCCTTTACCACACAAGAATTGCCTAATGGCATTCAAAACCTCTTTTTCAGTTGGAAGTTTGGCTAGAGAAGGATTGAATTCAACCTGAGGTAAACAAGTCAGTGGCTTCAGCATTGATTGATGACAGTTGAGAACACTATGGAAATGTTCAGCCCATCTCTCCAGAATCGTACCCTTATCACTAATTAATGTGACTTCATCAGTGCTGAGTAATTAAGATGTACTATAGGTCTTTGGCCCATAAATAGCTTTTAGGACATCTTAAAAGCACTTTGGATTGTTATTATCAGCATAAAACTGAATTTCATCTTTCCACCTTTGATGTCCACATGCCACTCAGTTTTTATCTATGGCTCCAAAAATCTGTAGAATGAAGTGGCCACAGCCAGCAAACCATTTCAGCAGGCAGACTAAATTGAGGGTAACTGACGGACCTCAAATTCCTCAGTAAGTTAGGCAGCTGACTACCCTGGTGGAATAAGCAGATGGGAACAGTTTGTTCCAATGGGCCATGAAGGCAGTAGAAGCAGACACTGTGGAGTGCTTAGAGCTTGGTTAGACATTGAAGATACCAAGGTCATCTACTGCATCCCAGGCCATCACCAGTCAAGGAAGACCTGAATTAAAATATGACCTTAGACACTTAGTTACTTACCCTGTGTAAGTCACTTAACCTGTTTGCCTCAGCTTCCTCATCTGTTAAAAAAAAAATGAGCTGGAGAAGGAAATGGCAAACCACTCCAATATCTTTACCAAGAAAACCCTAAAAAATGGGGTCACAAAGAGTTAGACATGATTGAAACAACTGAACAACAAAATGTTTATTTAATTATTCTTTAATTTCAGAAAGTTTCAATTTTTAAAAACTGGGCTCTGTATCCTTCTATTGCTGCTTTATGCTGACAATATCTTACAAGTTCTCTGTGTGTGTGTGTGTGTGTGTGTGTGTGTGTGTGTGTGTGTGTATGTGCATGCCATATCAGGAGATAAGAATACATGATAGCAATGCAAAAAAAGGAAGGATCCTTTGTAACATTTTTTAAAGATGTGCCGAAGACAACAGAAGGAATTGCAAAAAGCAGGGCACTTTAGGAAGTAACATGTAGAATTTATTTTATATACATATATGTGTGTATATGTGTATTTAAAGCAGGTGCTATAAAATGGAAATTTATGGTTTCAAATAGAATCCTCTTCAATATTTTATATTGTGGAAATGCTTTTTGTGTGTTTAAGTTCAGAATAAAAATAAATACATTTTAAAAATATAAAAAGACCTGAAAGGATTGTGATATGCATTCAGAGAGGGTGTATCCATGTTGATGAAATCACAGATCTACTTAAATGTTGTGGATTATATCTGAAGAATGACTGAAATCTTCTTTGAGAATCTTATTATTTGGCACATGGGAAGGTGGAAAGGGGAGAGGAAGAAACATTCATTAACCACTGGCTATGTGCCAGATACTTTGCTAAGCACTTTCGGATTTGATCCCCACAAAAACCCTGGGAATAGGTGCTGTTATTATCCCCATTTTACAGACGAAGAAAGTAGTATCTCAGAATGTGGTGTCTCACAGTCATTAAAATGCAAATAGGATCATTTATATAGTACAAGTCACATCATATCCTGTTTCACCAGACTTTAAGACTGTATAGTCTTTGGTTATATTAGAGAATGTTATCTGGACTATATTATTCTAAGTAGATTATCAGCCGAAACTTGGAAATCTTTTCATTCACATAGAGACTTATATTGTACTGGTATTTATTGTGATGAAATTTAACCTGTACCAATATTTGTGCTTCTATAAGTTCTTGGGTCCCAAGTTTAATGATTAAAAAAAAAGAAGAATGAAGTCTTTCTTGATCCCTTTATCAACTGAGTGCATAATCTTAAATAGTGCCATTGAGATTATTTGAGGTCCTTCTTGAAAGAGTGGCAGTTCTCTGCTTCTGAACACTCACTTTACAAAAGACCCATATATACAACTGGCTTTGCTTCCCACCTAGAGAAAGGGAACTATCAGAACTGGAAGAGTCCAAACCCTCCATTTTACAGATAAAGAAACTGAAGCTCAGATGGGTGAACATCCAGTCTAAAGTCAAGTAGAAGAGCTAAGACTCACACAGTGTCTTTATAGCTCCGAGTTCATGGCTTTTGACTAGTTGGGGTACGTCAGACCTCACCATCCCTAGAACTTTCTGAAGCAAAATTCCCCTCCCTGGCCATCACTCCTTATGTACATTTTCTGCCCCGCTAGAATGTGTGTGCTCCTTGAGGGCAAGGACTGTCATTACTTTATATTTATAATCCCAACACTGAGCACTGCTTCTCGCATAGTAAATGCTTAATAAATACTCTTTCATTAAATTCTGAATTAAAGGTTTTGAACCTGAGAGAATGGAAAAATGAAATATTAATAGAGAGAATCTTGAAGGCATATTGAACTTATAGAACTTATTATTGAACTTGAACTTTTAAAAGTGCAAATATTTGTACAGGTCAAATTTTATTATAATAAATACCAGTACAATAAAAAAAATCTCTATGTAACTAAAAGATTTCCAAAAAATCTTAACATAACTAAAAGATGTCCAAGTTTCTGTTGTTAATACATTTAGAATAATATTCAAAATAACATACTCCAATATAGCCAGAGAGATTACAGTAGAACATTCAAGTAGAAATATTTAGTAGATAGTTGGGTATAAAGAACTAGAAAGGGCAGCTAGGTGGCACAGTGGATAGAGCACCAAGGTGGACCTGAGTTCAAATCTGTCCGCGGATACTTACTAGCTGTGTGACCCTGGGCAAGTCACTTAACCCTGTTTGCCTCCAAAAACACTGGAGATCATGAAGATCAAGTGAAAGTCATGATTGGAGAGTTAAATTTGCTGAGAATCCTAAGCATAAAGGTGATAGTCGAAACCATGAGAATGAGCAAGAACTTTCTGAAGGACAGAATGCATAGAAAGAAGAGGGGCCAGTAAATAAGGCACAGAAAGACTTATTGGAGAGATTAGAGAACTAAGGTAGTGGTGTGTCATGGAAGCCAAGAGAGAAGAGGTTTTCAAGGATGGGGTGGTGTGCCCAGAATCAAATGCAGCAGAGTGGTCAAGGAGGGTGGAGAAAGTTGGGAGGGGGTCCTGGCCCCAACACTGACTTCCTATAGTGCCATGGGCAAATCACCTAACTTCTCTTGATCTGCTTCCTCATTTATAAAATGAGGATAACGGTACTTACTTGTATTACCTATCACCCATGGGTTGTTGTGATTTCTTTTAAGTGTTTACTGAGATATTTTATTTTCACACTACTTTTATTGCCTAATAAAATCCTTCTCCTGAGAAGAATCCTGATATCCCTAAATGATTCTCCAAGCATCGCACAGCCAGTATGTGTCAGAATTGAAACTTGGACCCAATTCTTCCTGGCTTTCTATCCACTACACTAATGGTTCCCATTTAATGGTTCCAGAACCCTTTGAGAATTCGGAACAAGGGATTAAGGGGTTTGCACCAAACATTTTTAACGGAACTTCAAGCAACAAATAATTGCCTAATTATGTTATGAATATATTTTTCCTCTGTGACAGTAAGCATGTACACATTTGAAGCATTATAGGTTTGTCTCTGCAGTGATTTGGAGCTTTTGGGGATAAAAGTTATCACTGTAGTCATTTTAAGTACTTAATGAATAAATTTAAAACAATATTATGAGTAGTATATTAAATTATATAGGGATTCACAACATATTTCTGTTGTTTTTGTTGTTGTTGTTGAAAAGGGGTTCAAGTAATAAAAAAAAAAGTTGTGAACCTTCGTACTCCACCGTGCTGCCTCCCAGTATTAACAAGAACAACAATAATATCTGTTGTATATATCATATGCATATGTTACATGTAAGCAATAATATATATTGTATGAAAGAAATATGAAAGAAATTATCAGGCACCCCTGTGTGCTCTGAGGTCTAAGACTTATAGGTCTGTCTTAAGGTTTTTTCCTCTTGTTTTTTCCTTAGGTATGGAGCTTACAAATATGAGATTTAGGGGTGAAGCAATAATACATTATGCTTGTGTTATTCTCTACTCCAGTCTGATTTATGTTCTTGTTGGTCTCCTTCCTTTCTTGCCCTCCCCCCCATTTTACCTCAAATAATCCAGGAAGTCATATGAGTTTGAAGACTTACTGCAGTCTTCGTCTGAGAACAGCAGAGTGGACTGGTATGCACAGACTAAGCTGGCACTCACACGCACTTTATCTGAGGAGAACATCTATGAGGACATTCTGGGTAAGAGGCTGGAACATGTATGAGTTTGTGTAAAGAGCAGTTTGTGATGAGGACTTAGTAAAGAATGGGACAGAAAGGGTAGGTAGGAAGAAATGGAAAGACACACCAAACATATTTCAAAGGATGTATGGATAGACAGACAGATGAACAAAGAGTATGAGGTTGGTAAATGAGAGAACAGGCAAAGGGATTGGGTGCGTGGAAGGAAGTGGAGCCCGACAGGAGAGAGTGGGTTGGCAATGAACAAAAAAAAAGTGATCAGAAAACTGGAAGGGTAGAGGGGAAAGAGCAGTGGTCAGAGAACCTCGGTTCAAATCCTTCCTCTCACACTTACTACCTGTGTGACCTTGGGCAAGCCACCTCACTTCTGTGGGCCCCAGTTTCCCCATCTGTGAAATGAAGTGGTTGGATTAGATGACCTCTGAGTCCCTTCCAACTCTAAATCTGTATCTATGTCTAGATCTATAAGCCTATGTCTAACCAGAACCTAACAAAGAGAATATCATACCAGAATGGCAGGAAGCTTCAAACCACAGAGAACATCTGTAAAGGAGATATGGAGCTTTGCCCCACTCTAGGAGAACTATCAAAAATGCTAATGGGGCCTGAGTTAAGGAATGAGATGTGATCTCACAAGATCTGAGACTTGATTTCCAGTTTTCATAAAATGAAAAAAAAAGCATCACAAACTTTTAGAAGATCTTCAGAGGTCATCTAAAAAGTGAGTCTTCAGTCTTGGCAGCTAGGTGGTTCAGTGTATGGCCTTGGGAGTCAGGAGGACCTGGATTCAAATTCGGCCTCAGACATATAACACTCATTAGCCGTGTAACTCTGGGCTAGTCACTTAACCCCAATTGCCTCACCAAAAAAAAAACAAACCTCCAATGATGAAGTACTCACTACCTATTAACACAATGCATTCCACTCTTGTACAGACCTAATTGTTCGAAAGTTTTCTCATACAGAGACAAAGCCTGCCTCCTTCTGACGTCTAACTGTGACTTCTAGTTTTGCCCTCTGGGGCTAGTCAGTCAACAATCAGTCAACAGGCATTCATTATTCGGTTCTGTGTGCCAAGCGCTGTACTCAGTGCTGGGTTTACAAAGAAAGGCAAAAGACTGTCCCTGGCCTCAGAGTGCTTACAGTCTAATAGGCAAAAAGAAAACTACTTTATAACATCATGTGTAAAAACAATGGCTTGGTAATCTTTCTTTACTTGATCCTTAAAGCCATACAAGACCCAAGATAAAAAGATATATAAGGCCAAAATGGAAATTTAAGGCAGAGAAAGGATATTAACTTGGTTGAGCATCAATGACGCTGAAGACTATTTCCTTAACTAGTTTCACTTACATAAAATCTATGAGAAAGTCATCAATTCCCTAAATTCAGACTGAACATTTGCAATAATAGTTCACATTTATATAGTGCATTACAAAATATCGTTGTTATAGCAACCTTGTCAGATAGGCAGTGAAAGTATTATTATACCCATTTTATAGCTGAAGGAGCAGAGCTTCAGAGAGGTTAGGTGGGTTGCCCAAGATGACACAGGTAGTAGGCAGCAGAGCTGGGATTGAGGCTCCTGACCTGTTGCCTTTGACTGCAGATCCACCACTGAAGGAGAATCCTTATGAGGACATTGAGTTACATGGTCGCTGCCTGGGAAAGAAGTGTGTCCTGAACTTTCCAGCGTCCCCCACCTCCTCCATCCCTGACACTCCCACCAAGGTAGGAGAGCAGCATGGCAAAGGTAGGGAGGGAGGGTGTTGGAGCACTCTGAGTATGGGAATCCCACTGGGCTTTGCAGTTCCTCTGGAGCTTCACAGGCTTCCCACCTGGATTGTGGCAGCATCTAACTCCAAATGGTCTTTCCATGTCTGATTCATTGGTAAATTAGATTCGTCTTCCTAAAACCCCACTTTCATGATATCTCTTTTCCAAATTTCAGATAATAAGATATTCCAGAAAGACATAAGTCCTGTTTTAGGTTTGAACCACATACTTAGGTAGATCTGTGATTTCAGCAATGTGGGTAATCTCTGCCAGAGCAAATCCTAATCCTTTCTCTTCCTGCTAGCTATATCATGTACATTCACAAAATATTACCAGTATAATTTTTTTTAAATCTAAAAGTTCTGAAATTAAGGAGGGATTGTTTACATTCTGAACATATTCATTGCTTTACAAAAGGACTCATTAAAAGTTCTTCCTATAGGAGAAAGCATGTCTTCCCACTTCTTTAAAGAGGTGGGGAACTATGGGTATGGAAAACTACGTATGAAGTCGAATGTTTTTGAATGTGTAGGCTGTTTTTGCTAAATGGGTTTTCTTTTCTTTTTAATTCTTATAAAAGATGGCTTTTTGGTTATTTTTTGGGGAGGAGGGGCTAGGCAGTGGGGTTAAGTGACTTGCCCAGGGTCACACAGCTAGTAAGTGTTATGTGTCTGAGGCCGGATTTGAACTCTGGTCCTCCTGAATCCAGGGCCAGTGGCTTTATCCACTGCACCATCTTGCTGCTCCAAAAGATGGCTCTTTGGGAATTAGAAGGGAGGAAGACAAATATTGGGAAATAGAGGTGATATTTCCAAAATATCAATAAAAGTGTATCTTTTTTTAAAAAAGGAGGGGGAGAGTTGTCATCCCTGTTGACAAAACAGATTTCAAAATCCTTAGCCTGGCATCCAAAGTATTCCTTGATTCCTCATCTCCTTCTCCAGCCTTAACTCCCACTACCAGCAGCAATGAAGTGTGAAATAGGTAAGAACACTGGGTTTAGAGTTAGGAAGACCTGAGTTCATGTCTGGCCTCAGACATTTACTGTCTGTGTGACCCTAGGCAAGTCACTCAGCCTCCCTCAGACTTAGTTTCCTTATCTGTAAAATGAGAAAATTAATAACATTGACCATGCTGGGAAGATTAAATGAGGCAATATGTAAGTCACTTTGCAAATATTAAAGTGCAATATAAATGTGTGCTATGATTTTTTTTCTACATAAACCCTCCATTGCAGCCAGACTTAGAACATAGATTTAGAGCTAGAAAAGGACTCTTGAGGTAAGCTGGTCAGATATCTCTTATTTTACGGTTTAAGAAACTAATGTCTAGGAAGTTTAAATAACTTGCCCAAAGCCCCGTAGGTAACAAGTCTCAAAGCTGTATTCAAACCCATGTCTTCTGATTCTTGGCTAAGGAATTGCCCCCTAACATCCCTTGAGCATTTCTGTTTTCAGTCTCACCTTATTCCTCTGGAACATCCTCTGCCCTCCTCTTTGCCTTCCCAAATTGCTGCCCTGGATTTTGAAGGATCAAAGTTCGGCTCAAAGCCCACCTCTGCGAGGAAGCTTTTCCGGAGGACTCTCACTCACACTGATCTCTCCCCTTGTTTGAACTCTTAAAGCACTTAACTGTCTTCTTCATTCAGTTGGACATTAAATGGTGCATTGTGTTGAACTGTTCTTGGTTTCTCCCAACATTCAATATACATGGAATAGTTAAATAATGGTAAAAGATGATACGTCATTAAGTGCTAAAATTAGTTATTTCAGAATTAGTTCAGTTATGCTTAGGACAATTCAACTCAAATTATTTGAGTGTTGTGTTGATTTAATTGTGGAGAACTGTTAGGATTCTCTAAAATTCCTGACCCTTTGTACTGAAGACACAAGGCACAATCAGTCAATAAATCAAAGCATCCCTCAAGCACCTACTGTGTGCCAGGCACTGTGCTAGGGACTGGAAATATAGCCACAAAAACAAAATCTGCTCTTAAGTACCTTGTGTTTTATTGGGGGGCAGGGGGAACACCTGCAAATATACCTGTAGATCCCTCTCTCACTTATGGATAGGGGAAAGGGAAGAGAGGGACAGATATTTATTAGGGAGTCTCTGAAACATGACAGGTTAAAAGCCTCTACCCTGGGGGACAGATTTGAGCATATTGGGTGCATCCTCTATGGAGGATCTGTGGGAGAATGTAGACAGGTATCATCATACAGGGTGAAAAAGCATGGATAGGTGACAGTCTACACCAGCAGAAGGAGTACCCACATTAATGAGATCACAGAAGTATATTAAAGTGAAGCATGCCCAATGGGTAGTCCTCTGACTGATCTCTTCCTGGATTAAAGGCTCCACTCCTTATTTCCTTCTCTGAGGCAATCTTTCTTTCCTTTTCCTTCCCTCAGCTGACCCCCACTTTCTATACCGTTGCCCTTTCCACCTGGCCAGTTTCCTCTTAGGTGGGCCAATTTTCCATACTCAACCTCTGTTTTCCAGCTCCCAGTTCCTTCTTTTTTTTTCAGGAGCACCCCTACTCCATGTCCCTCTCCCTTTCTATTCCTCAGGCCCTTTCCCACCTTTAGCAGTATTAGAGGTCTGGTAGCACATACATCTTCCTTCCTTTTTATGTGCTTGCTACAGATGTTCAGATAGGAGGATCTGACTAAATATTTGAACAAAGCAATCAGAAAAAATTAAGCCCACTAGGTCAACATGCAACTTACCTGAACTTGGGGTACAGCCCACCTAAGCTCTTTAGAAAAAGAAGTTTTACCTTCCATGAACTCATAGACCAATAGAGTCCAATCACCTGCTCACCACTACAGTCAGGTCCAGGGTAGTATGAATAATGAATTCCCTGAAGTGGTCACATATGTTAGAATTTGCACTGTCTGAAGTTTTAATTATGTAAAATAAAACTGGATCCAGCCCAATGGAAATCTGCAGTGTGAATAATACAAACACTATTGGGGATTCTTTGTTCTCACTGATCAGGATCTAGCTGTACCATTTTGTAACCAACTTCTGGCTGGTTTGGATTAATTATAAATAGTCTTTGAAGCTGAATGTAATGCAGTATGCAATTAAATGACTTTAGGCTACACTCATAGATTTCTGGTTAGGGGACCCACACTTGGATACTCTTGAGCTAAACTAAGTAAGATCAATAATATTCTTATTATTTTCTTTCAGTACAATAGAGTAAGTAGTTCAACATATAGACTAAGAAGGAGTTAAAATGGAAACCCCCCAAATCATGTTGTACTTTTAAGGTTTTGGGGAGATAAGAGAGAAAAATATATTTTAGGAATTTTAACTATCATCCTGTACCAAATAAACCCCAAATTAGTTTCAAATTATTTGAATTCTCCCTCCTCGGTATGTAAACTCCTTGAGGTCAGGGACTATTTTTGTGTTTTTGCCTTTCCTTGTATCTCTGGTGTTTGGTACAGTACCTTTAGTAAGGCTTAATAAATGCTGGCCTATAGATTGGTTTTTAGAGAAATACTGTTGTAGGGATTCCCACAGCAGAGTGAACATAAATGAGAAAATGTTGGGGAGCTTCATGGGCTTATTGATTTGAGAAGTTTTGCATTAAAAGAGCCTTTATTATGCTGACCCCTCCTACCTCTTCCTCATTAACTCATTCTTTTCTTCTTATACTTCTTTTCCTCACCAACAGTTAGCTTCCAAACCTGCATTTTTTCGTCAAAATTCAGAGAGGAGGAACTTCAAGCTGTTGGACATGAGAAAGCTAAGTCGAGATGGCACTGGATCTCCATCCAAAATCAGCCCACCCTCTACTCCCAGCAGCCCAGATGATACTTTCTTCAACCTGGAAAATCCCCAAAATGGAAAGAGGAGAAGAAAGATACCCAAGGTAGTTAACTCTCCCAGGTTTCCCCACCAACTGCTGCTTAGCTGTGTGACCCTGGGCAAGTCGCTTAACCCCATTGCCCAGTTAAAAAAAGGGGGGGGGGGGCAAAAAGAAGGAAAAGAAAAAAAAAGTACCCTGCCACTGGGCTGCATTGGGACACCAGAGGGTCTGGACAAAGTAGAAATTGGTGGAGCCCCTCCTCCTTGTTCTTCTGTGTGTCCTAACTCAATCTCTTAAAATTAATTTCACTCATTCATGACCAATTTTGTACCAACACCATTCAGGTACATTTAAAGTACATTTATTGGGCTGTCTCTTTACCCACACAGTGTAGCATTTGATCCTTCTTCAAGGTCAGCTACTCTAGACTTATTATCTTGCTTTCTTAATGTTCTTGACCAGAGGGGGATAAATTCTAGGGGATATAGGCTCAGGGCAAATCACTCTTTCCATCCTCATCAGCATCTTTATTCTGGTAAAATCTGGTGAAATGAACATCAAAGGCATCTCTGAATGGGAAAAGAAATCACCAAACATAGTAATAACTCTGACTTATATGGTGTTTTAAGGTTTGCAATGGACTTTCCCCATTGTAGAGTGTGTATTGTTATTACCATTTTAAAGATAAGGAGATTGAGGAAAGATGCAGCTATATGGCTTAGTGTGGATAGAAGAGGCAATCCCACCCACTTTGCCTTGGTGATGACAGAGGAAGAAAAGAAAAATTATAGGATTATTGTATACATGTATGTATCTGGGTCTCTGGGCTCTTATTTAAGCATTAGGTTGTGTATCCGTATTCTTCTTCCCTGTTGGGTGCCTCCCGAAGTCAGTGCCATTGACCATCACTGTCAATATGATTCATTGTGCATAGAACCTAAGGCAATGACCTTAATTCACCATACTCTAGTGGTAGCTCTGATGTGGTTAATTTTTGTTTTAAAATTTGATTTATATATCTTGTCTTGATGTATCAGACACCCAGCTGAACCCCCTAGAAAGCATATTCCTCAAAATCAGTTAAGCAGAACTGCCTAATATTATAATTGTTTGCAACTGATAATATATATTAATTTCCACTTTTGTAGTTGATGACATGGTACATTCTTAAACACAACGTCAGAGCCTACAACTTGAGGGAAGTTGGGAAGTACTCAGTTTATACAAGACCTGTCCACCATTTTAAGTTTAAATATTGGCCAACAGGATAAAAATATGCAGACAAACTGGCAGCATTGTAGCTAGCAAAGCAAATAGCATCTAGCAAAGCACCTGGTTTATAGTATGTAATTATGCTGATTGATTGGATTGCAGCAGGGGTAATCTGGCAGGTTGGCCTCATCCACTAAAATCCTCATTGTGCCCTGGAAGTGATACTGGTTTCTTGGAGGTTCTTATAGATAATATCAAACTGAAAGGGATTTGAGTATATATGCTTTAGGAGGACTGTCCTATTTAAGCTTAGTGATGCTTACTACCAGAAAGTTGTTCACTAGGTGATGATGTTTTTTAGTAACAGAAACTCATGACATCATCTCCCAAGGCATGGAGGCACTGTGATCCAAATTGACAAAGGGAGTACATAGACTGAGGGAATCACAGACCCTTGAAATTAAAAAAAAGCTAGCTAGAGACAGAGGTCATCTATCTAGAGGAAGGAGCTCAGAAGCCATCTAACCCAGCACCCTAATTTTATAGATGAGGAAACAGCCCGGGGAAGTGAAGCAACTCCCTCAAAACCACTCAGGCAATAAGTGTCAGAGGTAGAGTGGAGATCCAGTCTTATGGTTCTGGAGCCAGAGCTGCTTCCACCATACCACATTGCCTCCCTAGATCTCGAAGTAAATGCAAATAATAGATACCCATTTAACAAAAGTGTGAGGAAAATAAAATGTGTTATGTATGAGTGTAGGTCCTTGTATATCCATGTGTGAGGTATAAATATAAATGTGTATGTTTGGGTGAGGGTTGGCCCCTAACTAGGATTTAAGAACCTTAATCCCTGCTCCTTTTCAGTAGTCAGTAAATCAGTCCACAATCATTAAGCACTTATTTTGTGCCAAGCACTGTGCTAACTGCTGGAAATACAAAGAAAAAGCAAAAAATAGTCCCTGCCTTCCAGTAGCCTATGTCCTAATGGGGAGACTTTTGCGTGTACGTAAATTGGTACATAAAAGATAAATGCAGAGGAGATGAAATGTAGCTAGAGAGAGGAAGGCATTAGCAGCTGAATATCCTCCCAAAGACAGATGATGAGATTTTCTGGCACCATTCCCATATAATAAAGTCTGTGCCTGGGAACATTTTTTTCAGCTCTTTCTTCCTTTTTTTGTTTTGATTTAGGAAGAGAAGCTTCTCCCTAAAATATAGCACTGATTTCTCATAATTGTCAGTCTGTGGGAAACGATGAAATTACTTCCTGGTTAGTGGAAACCCCATGTTGTATAATAGTGGAAAAAAATATATGCCAACACTGAAGTATCTGGTAACGGTATAATGAGCTGTCCATGTTCATTAGACATTACTGACAACTACTTCCCTGTCTTACCAAAAAGAGCACCGCCAGAAAACAATTCAGCAAAAGTGCAAAATAGTTTTACATCTACCCTTTACTGGTCCTGTGAGCCTAGGTGTGTGCGTGAAGCATGGGGCTTCAGGTTTGCCCACACACCTACACACTCCTAGTCCTGTGACCTATAGGTAGAGCTTAGAAACCCAACTGGAAGACTGTTGACATTGATTGTTCTTCTTTTGATGTTGGGCAGTTGGTGTTACGGATCAATGCCATTTATGAAGCCCGCAGGGGCAAGAAGCGGGTGAAGAGGCTATCGCAGTCAACAGAGAGCAATTCGGGAAAAGGTAGAGACACTGGACCATGGGGGACCTAGAAATGGAGCCTTCTGGGAGGCAGATATAATTGGATTTTGATTGGTTTAGCAGTAGGACATAATAAGCAAACATCTACTGTAAGTTGCTATACCCAGTGCCCTATGTATGGCTTGGTGGTCAGTCACATGGCAGAGGAACTGGGATCTCATCTGTTCTCTGTAAGGCTTTCTTTTGTCAGAGCATCCTTGGCTTTAGCAGCAATCATGTTACACCACCCACCCACTCCAGCCCCTATTCTGAGCTGAGTTCCCTGTTCTGCTTGACCCTTCATGGCTGTCTTCCACCTCTGCATAGAAGGGGCCAAAAGCATCATCCCTTGCTGATAGTCATCTGCATCCAAGGGTTCTTAACTCTTCTTGTGCCATGGAACTCTTGGGCAATCTGGTGAAGACTAGAGACCCTGTCTCAGAATCATGTATTTAAATGCATAAAATAAGCACAGGATGAAAAGGAAACTGATTATGCTGAAATATTTTTTAAAATAAAAATGAAAACAAGTTTGCAGATACTGGGTGTCTCAGCCAGATTTTTGAGATTAGGTTTGTGAAACCGACTAAGACAGTGACTTGTCAAGAGTATGCTAAAATGTGAGCAGAAGAAAGCCCTACTGAATCAGACAGCCCAATTTTGTCCTTCTCTTTATCCTATGAAAATTTGATTTGTTGGAAGGATTTGCATTCATGTCTCTTTACCTTGTCCCTTTTGGCACAGTGACAGATGAAAACAGTGAATCAGACAGTGACACGGAAGAGAAACTGAAAGGTGAGATGAGGAACGGATGTGGGACATGACCTAATCTATGTACATCTGAGATGTTTGATCATCCCTTGTTCTAAAGGTCAAGGAAAGAAAGAGAACTAGCAAAGCCCAGGAAGGTGTTTTCCATTAAGTAACAGAGGCCCAGCTCTTACTTGTGAAATCAATGAATGAAACTCTAAGAGGATGGATCGTAGGGTGGGGGGAAAGGGGAAGGAGAAGCACAGAAGGAATTCACAGGAGGGTTACTTGAGAAAAGAATCTCACAATTGTTGACCAATGCTGAATATTCCAGAAGACTAAAACTGGCTGGAATAAGAAGCGATCTTATAGCCTTTACAGAGTCTCTCCTAGTTTCATCAGCTCATTTTCGTGCTGGTGAAACCCCATCAAAAAAAAAAAGAGCAAAAAGTGTTGGGAGACACAGATATGAGTCCTAGATCTGCTGCTAACGTCTCTGTGTCCAGCAATCAGTCATTTCACTGATGTAGACCTCAATTGCCTTATGTGTATTATGAAGAGATTGGACAAGATAATCTCTAAGGTAGTTCCTGGCTTTTAGATTTTTATTGTACTTTCTTTGGACTGGGCTGCAATGAGTTTGCCACAGTCTTCTTGAGGGCTCAGTGAGAAGCCATAGAGTCCAATAGTTTAATGTTACGAGATCAGGCGATGGATGTAAGACTCCCTCGCCATCCCAGGTTCATCATTTTTGTAGTACTTACCTCCACTTCTTTGTGAAAAGACTACTGTGCCTAGACTCCGCCTATTCAGAGTCACAGAATCCTGGTTTCAATTTTGATTCTGTTATTCTACCAACTGTGTGACCTTGGGCAAATTAGTTGACCCCTCTAGACTTCAGTTTTCTCTTCTGTAAAATAAGGGGATTGGACTAGATGTTCTCCAAGGCCCCTAACTGTTCTAACATTCTGTGATCCTAAAGAGACCCAAAGGATACTTACTGGTCTCCGACGTGCTCTGGATGTATTACGACTTTCACTGAGATTAGATTTTAGTGGGAGATTAGGAAGATAGGAGACTAGCATCACCATCCCCTCTTAACAGATGGAGTGAGGGCTTTGGTGAGCTACTCAAAGTGTCCATGCCAACGCATGGCAGCAATAGAGCGATCCATAAGCTAAGTTCCCCTAACTGATCAAGTGCTCTCATTTCCAAGATTTGGCTACTTAGGGGTTAAGCGGCTGTGGAAGCGATTTGCACATACTTTATTGGAAAGTGAAATTTTACAAGTTGGACCAAGCACCCAAATCAGGCATTACTAAGCATGTTGAAGTGATGTGCAAGGATCTATTTAACAAAATTAGCCTCTCTGCTCTCTTTCTCTCCAGCTCACAGCCAACGCCTGGTCAACGTGAAATCCCGTCTGAAGCAGGCCCCTCGGTATCAGTGTCTGGAGCGGGATCTCATTGAGTACCAAGAGAGGCAGCTATTTGAGTATTTTGTGGTGGTGTCACTACAGAAGAAACAGGCAGGGGCTGCATACGTGCCAGAACTCACACAGCAGTTCCCTCTAAAGGTAAGGCTAAGCTAGGCTTCCAGTGAACAGAACTGTCTTCTGTCACGGAGCTTCAGATTTCCACTTGTAATAATGCCTTGCACTACCAGAAGGACTTGGAGGGTATGGAGAAGTGGGGAAACCTAAGGAAAATATAATTGTGGCTAGAATTTTGTAGATGGGATATAAGATAATGATTAAGTCCTAATTGGAGTGTATTGGGTGTGAGGCTCCATAGTGCAAGACGGATGGGGCAATGTATGGCATCCTTGGGAGAAGAAACAAAAGCACTAATAGGTTGGAAAATCCTGAGGACTCTTCTTCTTGTTTACCCCTTCTCTCATCTACCCATTCACTCTCTCTCAGCCAGACCCCATCTTTTCTTACCTACTTTCTTCTTCTACTTTTTCTCTTAGTTATGTAATTTCCATATACTAAGTCTTTTTTTTTAACTTCTGTACATCATCTTTGCATCCTTTGCACTCTCTATGTGCGTCTCACACGCGCGCACACACACACACACACACACACATATATAACAGAACTCCAGTGGAGCCTGGTTTATCATATGGATTCAGGTTTTTTAAATTAAGAACTTTAACCCATAGATTAAAAACCATGGTCTCTAGAAAAGAACTACATGCAACAAAAGTCTTATGTGCTATATAGTGGTTAACCAGTAACAGATGTTAGTGCTGTTGCCCTAAAGTCAGTATAATAAAGGAGTTCCACTGTATTTATGGAAAGATGGAAACATGCATTTATTAAGTACCTCCTGTGTTTCAAGGGCTGTGCTAAGCATTTACTAATGTTATTTCTTTTGATCCTCTCAATGGCCTTGGGAGATAGGTGCTATTATGATCTCCATTTAACAGTTGAGGAAACGAGGCAGACAGAGGTTAAGTGACTTGCCCCAGGTCACACAACTAGTCAGTATCCAAGGCCAGATTTAAACGGGGGTCTTCCACACTCCCGAGCTACTGGGAGCTCTTGCCCACTACACAGCCCCACTGCCCCCCTTTGTGTTGGGGATATCTATGTTTGTTTGGGCCTCTTTGTGATGGAACAGAATACAGCATCCTGGTTGGATTCTCAGTCCTCTGCAGGTAGTGCTCATATGCTTTCATCTTCTAAATTCTAATTGATCACCAAAAACAAAAATTTAAATACATAAGATAAAAAATGGTGGCGCATAAAACCAGAACAGAGTTTATTCTTTACTTCTAATACCTAAGAGGAAAAAAATGTTTCCATCAGAGACCACATCCCCAGGTCCAGGTTTCTTCTTCTCCAGCAGGACGCCTCCCTGGCATGCAATGCAGTCCAGTGCGTGTGCGTGCACACACACACACACACACACACACACACACACACACACACACACACACACGAACTTTCCTGTGGTGTCAAAGACGCTCAGGGTACAAACTCTAAACAGGTGAATTAAATCACATGCTCAGTCACAGGTACTTGACTTAGCTTAGTAAAAGTTCAGAGCACTAAATAATAATCTCATAATTTACTCTTTTAACTCCCTGCTTTAGTTATTTTCTTCTGAGCCCTAATCCTCAGTATTGTGGAGGTTTTTCTACCTAGAGTTCACCCTACTTCAGACTCAGGTTGAGTCAGCTTCTCCTTGGGGTCTCTATGCCTCTGACTTCAGAATTACCTCCTATACCAACTTGGCTGTTACCTTTTTTGTTGGCAACCTTTCTTAAAACTCTACGTGTTGTGTGTGTGTGTGTGTGTGTGTGTATCTATAGATATAGATATAGATTGAGTACCCAGTCGCTGCCAAGTGCTGTGCTAAGCACTGAGGGAGATATGCCATCAAGATAAGATAGGCCCCTTGGCCTCTGGAGCTTGCCATGTGATAAGACCCATACACAGATAAATCTAGGATGTGATGATTGTCATAAAGGGCATTCCAAACAGAGTGCCATGCAAGTTCCAAGGGTGAGGGATGATTACTAATGGAGGAATTCCCAGAGGTTTCCTAGAAGCAACTACCAGTAAGTGTGGACTATAAAGGATAGGTGGGAATTCAGTAGGTATTCAGCTCCAAGGCTGTTTTCCAATCTCCACAAGCTGGATTGAAACACACTCCATATTCAGTGTCTGGGTTTGCTTGTATCTCCCTTCTTCTTTTTTGCTCTTCTAACTAACTCTGTTCTCTAATTCTGGCACCATCTTTGATCCCTTCCTTCTTGTCTTCATTTCTCACTCCCTCCTTCTCTAGCCCACCATCCTGTCTTCCCATGTTGTCTAGAGCAGCAGTTCCAAAAGTGTGGTCTTAGGATCTCTGAGACCCTTTCAGAGGGATCCACAAGGTCAAAACTATTTTCATAATGATAGCACGTTATTTGTCTATTAAGATACTCCTTCCCAGGGGCAGCTACGTGTACAGTGGATAGAGCTCCGGCCTTGGAGTCAGGAGGACCTGCGTTCAAATCCGGCCTCAGACACTTGACATTTACTAGCTGTGTGACCTTGGGCAAGTCACTTAACCCCAACTGCCTAGCAAAAAAAAAAAAAGATACTCCTTCCTTTTCTAACTACATATCTGTGCAAGGCCAGATTTTCTTCATATGCTTCAACCAAAAGAACATATCAACCTGTCACAACAGCTCAAATATAGTAACAAATAGGAGAATCCAGCTGTTTTCTTGTAAAACAGATATTGAAAGAAATTTGCAAAAATATAGAAAACAGTGCCACTTTTCTCACTAGTTTTTTTTATTTCAGAAAACAGTTAATTTTCATTAAAATATGTTTTGTCATGAAATGAGTTTATTATTGATATTTTGAAGGAATGAATAGGTATTTTTAATTTTTAATCAGTTTTAATTTCTTTTGGTAGGTATTAATAAAAAATAATACACACAAATAAAATCTCTTTGAGGTTCTGAGTTTCTCAACAATTTTTAAGAATTTAAAGAGGAGCAAGTTTCTCTGCAAAAGGCCTCGTCTCTCCAATATATAGAGAACTGAGTCAAATTTATAAGAATACAAGTCATTCCGCAATTGATAAATGGTCAAAGGATATGAACAGGCGGTTTTCAGATGAAGAAATAGAAGCAATCTACAGTCATATGAAAAAATTCTCTAAATCACTATTGATTAGAGAAACACAAATTAAAACAACTCTGAGGTACCACCTCTCACGTATCAGATTAGTTAATATGATAGAAAAGGAAAATGACAAATGTTAGAGGAGATGTAGGAAAATTGAGGTACTAACGCATTGATTATACGGCTGTTTGACGGAATAGAGATGGGTGATAGAGGTAGAGGTGATTTTGGCCAGATGTCAGGGGGATAATGCACGATGAAGCTGTATACATTGGGAGAAGGTTGTGAAGGGCTTTAAAAGTTAAACTGAAGAGTTTATATTTTATACTAAAGACCAGTAGGGAGGTACTGAGGTTTATTGAGTAGGGGCAGAAAGTGGTCAGATCTGCACTTAAGAAAATCACTTTATCAGCTGAGTGGAGGATACCTGTAGTGGGGAGGAGACCTTTGAGGTGGGGAGACCAATTAGAAGGCCATTGCAGTTATCTAGGTAACAGATCATGAGGACCTAAACTAAGGTCGTGGCTGTGTGAGTAGAAGAAAGGGATTATTTGTAAGATATGTTGTAAAAAATGTAAAAAAAAATCAGGATTTGGCAACTGATTGGTGGGGTGAGTGAGATTGAGGAGTCAAGTATGATCCTTTGGTTATAAACCCAAGAGATTGGAAGAATGTTGTATCTTCAACAGAAATTGGGAAGTTTGATAGCATTTTGGGGAAAAGATAAGTTGTTTTGGACATAAGGAATTTGAGATGTCTCTGGGACATCCACTTTAAAGAGTAATAGGTAGTTGGTTTGTAGTACTGGAGTTCAGGAAAGCAACCGAGGCTGAATATAGAGATTCAGGGATCATTTGCATAGATATAATAAAGCCACGGGAGGTGATGAGGTCATCAGAAGAGATACTGTAAGCAGAGAAGAGGGTCCTGAGGAAAGTCTGCTGGAGAAGGCCATCAAGGGACTATGCAGTAGTTCATCTTGTCAAGGAAAAGGGACATCTTACTATCAGAGAAGGGTGGAGAAGAATGAGAGATGATGTCAAGGGGGTTTGAAATGAAGAGAGAAGGAAAGGGATGAGCATGTAGAATGGTCTCAGTTTCCTTAATAAAGTAGTTGGGGGGGGCAGGTAGGTGGCACAGTGGATAGAGCACCAGCCCTGAAGTCAGGAGGACCTGAGTTCAAATCCAGCCTCAGACCAAACACTTGACACTTACTAGCTGTGTGACCCTGGGCGAGTCACTTAGCCGCAATTGCCTAAAAATAAATAAATCAATAAAGCAGTAGGGAAGGTCCTCAGATGAGAAAGCAGAAGGAACGGGGATGAGAGAAGAGAACGTTTGGAATGTTGTTTTTGTTTGTTTGTTTCTGCAGTGAGGGCCCGGATGAAATTGGATGAAATGATTTTATAGTGTCCCCACTTAGCAGCTGTGTAATTTCTCCAGCTCTGTTCAGCAGCATGTAAATAGGAACAGAGGAAGAAGACCATGAGACTGGGGCAAAATAATTTGTAGTAATACCTTTCAGATTCATGATTTTTTTTTTCATCTTGCTCTTCCATGCATTGGTCCTTTCTGTTTGGTCAAAAGGAGTGGGACAGAGGGGGGAGCAGCATAGCTGTGGTTATTAAACTGTGTCATCTTAGTGGAAAGAGCACAGACTTGGAACCCAAAAATCTAGGTTTTAATTGTAGCTCTGACCCTTACTACCTAGGTTGATCACTTTACTTTGGAACCTCAGTTTCTCTGTCTATAAATTGAGGAATTGGGAAAAGATGACCTCAAAACTTCCTTTTTTTAGGGTTATATATTTTTTATTCAATTTTATTTTATTTTCAGTTCTGGGTTTTCTTTGTCTCTCCCCCCTCCATTGAAAAGGCAAGAAAAACAAAATCCATTACAAATCTTGTAGTCTGATTATAGTAAAAAAACAAATTTGGATATAAATCTTGAGATTCTTTGACAGAAACAAATGTCCTTCAATTTTTTTTTTGAATCAATACATTTCAGAAATTTTGGCCACGAGGAAACTTTGATACAACAAATACTGTTTTGCTGTTGTTTTTCTTTATAATCTATTAGACTTGTAAAGTTCTTGAGAGCAAGGATCCTATCTTGTTCATCATTCAGTCTCACTCAGTACCTGGTATAATGTCTTGTGAATAGTAAACACAGTAAATGTTTGTTTAATTAAAATGTTAAATGTGTAATTGTGTTACCACAGGAAAGATAGCACCCAACAGCCTGAGTCCAAACTTATTTGGCATCCACAATTAGATAAGATGGTGGTCAGGTTCATGGACTGGTGGGAGCTGTAATGTTAAGAATAAATTTTTTTTCAACATCCTGAGAACACTGCAGTGTTTTCCCAAATACTGGAGCACTGCGTCAACTCTGCTAATTTTTCTCTCTGCAGCTGGATCGATCATTCAAATTCATGAGGGAAGCAGAAGACCAGCTTAAGGCTATTCCCCAATTCTGTTTCCCCGATGCTAAGGATTGGGTACCTGTGTACCAGTTTACCAGGTATGTGCTTGCATCTCCCCTGGAGGCTAGAATACAAATTAGGGATTTCTATTCTTACCTTGTAAGAGGTGAGGGTACAGAGTCAGTCATACTATAACTTCTATCAGAGGAGATACTTTGGAATATTTCTCCATTCCCTCTCTCTAATTCCCACTAAGCATTCAATAAATTACAACTTTTGTTTCCTCTGATTCGTTTATACAGTGTCATTTCCCTCTAATGTAATGGAAAAAGCCCTGGGCCTGAGTCAGGAGACTTCACATATCAGCTATAATACTTAGTAGTGCTTTTTTTACCAGTCAATTTCTCTCTCTCAGCCTCAGTTTCCTCATAGTAATGCCCATTCTGTCTGCCTTACAGGGTTATTGTAGAGAAAGCACTTTGTAAGTACTATGTAAATCGTGAATGATCATAGTTCATCCAAAACCATTGCTTTACCCCATTATGTTACTTGTTGGTCATTTCATTATTAATGATTTGAGCTTCTGAAGAGAACCTAGTAATATACATCGTGAGTTTCCAGGTGAGACCTTGTTTGCTGAAATTGGTCGTGTGGTCTCTCTAAGGCTGGGGCTTGACCTGTTTGTGTCATAGACCCCTTTGGCAGTCTGGTGTCTCAGAATAATATTGTTAAATGCATAAAAGAAAATACATAGGGTTACAGAGGAAACCAGTGATATTGAAATACAGTTATTTTGATACCAAAAAACAAACTTGCAGAACCCTAGGTATAAGGTGTTTTCTGCATGAGTGGAGTCAGTCAGATGTCAAGAGTTTTCCTGAGCACATAAAGTCAGTGTAAGCAGGCAGGGACAAGAGGGTAGCTGCAGCAGACATGCATGACCTCTGAAGGGGCACAAAGCTGTCCTTGGCTCAGCCCCGCTGCCGCATTCCCCATGCCTGGGTCCATAACCATGTCTTGTTCTTCTTTTATTCCCTGTCCTTTTTTTTCTTTTTGGTGAGGCAGTCAGGGTTAAGTGACTTGCCCAGGGTCACACAGGTAGTAAGGGTCAAGTGTCTGAGACCAGGTTTGAACTCAGGTCCTCCAAGGCCAGAGCTCTATCCACTGCACCACCTAGCCGCCCCTATTCCCTGTCCTCTTATTCACTTCCTATGGCACCCTGCCCACACACCAGATATTCAGCAAATGACAACTGACTGAAGTTTGGTCCCCAAAATTTAGATAAGAGGTCCTTAACTTAGGATCCATGAATTGGTATTTTAAAAATATTTTGAAACTATACCTCAGTATAATTGGTTTCTTTTTCAATTCTATATATTTTATTTAATGCATTTAAAAACACAATTCTGAAAAGGGCTCCATAGGCTTCACCAGATTGTCAAAGGGGTCCACAGCACACATGAATAGGGTGAAAAGTCCCTGATTTAAGTGATATTAGTAAGGATATACTTTCCCTATCATTTGGATCTTTCTATTTGGTCAAAGGAATAGAGCAGAAGGAATGGGACGCAGCTCTTGTAACTTGCCATGGAATGGAGAAATCCTTAAGTTATCCTGTTCTGGAAAGAGCATCTTAGACCCCACCCCAGGGAAGTTCCAGTACAAGTTACCAGGCCCATCCTGGACACAGAGTTAGGAAACTAGGAAGAACCCCATCCCCCATCCCACCCCAGTATTCTCCCCTCACCTTATCTCTCTCACCATGACTGGTTAGTATACAGCTTCATATCGACGATTATTTTTCTTTTCCTTAAAATGGATCTTTATTTTCCCAAATACAGTGAAACATTCTCATTTGTCCTGACTGGAGAGGACGGAAGTAGAAGGTTCGGGTACTGCCGCAGGCTTCTGGTAACTACTTGTTCTCCTTTGGTCACCAGGAAGGCAAGGGCCACCATGGGGTTTTATCTGTCACTTGCTCCGACAAAGGAGAGGGTACAGGATCTCCCTACTGGTCACTTGAGGGCAACAAAGGACCAAAGAAAGCTTGATGCCTCTCCTATGATGATAGCGAGGCATGGTGTCACTGCCCTGCTTCAAGGCAATTAAAAAATACTCTCTCCCGGTCTAACCTAATAATACCATGAATGGATGAGAAAATATTCTTCGGTGCTTCCCGTGTGCCACTCACTGCTATGTCCTGAGGACAGAAAGAAAAAAAAGTCAAGTCCCTGCCCTCACAGAGCTCACATCCTAATGAATGACAATACCCATAGGAAGTTTCAGCTACAAGCAAACTGTTGCATAACTTCATTTAGGCTATATCCTGGAAGGGATGTTCATAATGGGTAGATGAGGACATGTGCTATGCTCAATTTTTCATTCAATGGACAAATATATGAGGTGTGACTCTAAGGCAAGGTGACTTGAAAGAAGTGTTTGAGAGAATTTTTATCTGAATAAGGATTATCCCCTTCAGAGGAGTCACCCTGAGAAGCTGTACCCTTACCTACCAAGCTGTCATTATTCAGAACATTCTGTAACTCTTTTTTTGAGGATTCTCTTATTTAAAATATGAAACGCATTCTTAGAAATAGACTGTCAGTGTTCAGAAGCCTTCATCTCAGGGATAGCTAGGTGTTATAGTGGGCAGAGAACTAGGTTAGGAGCTCGGAAGACCTGAGTTCAAATTCTATATCAGATTATTACTATTATTATAATCATTATTATAATATTATTTATAATATATTAATATATGTTACTGGCCACATGAGCTCATTTTGTGACCCTTGTTAACTTCTCAAGAGAGTAAGTGGTGGGTAAGAGAGATGGTGGGGCATCTGGTGGTACAGTGGTGGTACAGACTCCTCTTCCTGAGTGCAAATCTAGTCTCAGATACTAGCTATGTGACCTTGGGCAAATCACTTAACCCAATTTGCCTCAGTTTCCTCATCTGTAAAATGAGCTGGAAAAGGAAATGGCAATCCATTCCAGTATTTTTGCCAAGAAACCCCAAATGGGGTCACAAAGAGTTGGACACAAGTGAAAAGCAACTGAACAACAAAAGAGAGATGGTAAAGGAGATTACTCCAAGTTGCTTTGGCCATTAAAAATAAATATTTCCTTCTCTGTAAAATGAGAATAATAACTGCATCTGCTTCACAGGGTTATTATGTAGGTAAAATGAAGTACTTTTCAAACCTTAAAATGCTCTGTTAGTGTTTTAGTTTAGTACTACTACTACTATTACTACTATTATCCTTTGAAGATGAATTTTGATTTTCCTAAAAGTCATTTCTAGTCAAATTTGGTGGATAAGGTGGTTGACCAGCTGCATAATACTTATTCAAGCCAAAGCATGAAGTATGCTTACAAAGTAATGAGACTGTTGGGTTTTGGGGGTTTTTTGGGGGGAGGGGGAAGGTGGAGCTGGTCTGGCTCATAAACTGTTCCTAAAAGAATTCCAGATGAAGAGTTCAAAAGATGTTTTGAATAATGGTGACCTTTCTTGTTGAAATAAGTATATAGCTTCTCAAGAAGATAACTTTGAAGGAGATGACACTCATTTGGATATATAAATTCTGGTGTTTGAAAAAACAAATCAGTATCGCTAGCTTGTGGTCATATCTAGTATATAGAGTGTCTCTTGTATCATGGAGCTATATTTGGAAGATATACCAATTTTGAGTAGGAGGTAGGACAATATGGGGTCCCCTTGTAATTTTCCCAGTATAAAGAAATTTCTAGTTTCTCCCTGGATATAGTAGAATATCAGAATCCACCCTAGGAATATTAGGAATCCACCCTACCTTGGTGGTAATTTCTCTGAGGAATTTCTTTATGTTTCCTTCCTAAAAGCCTGGTGGCAAAGGGAAACGCCTCCCTGAAGTTTACTGCATTGTGAGCCGCCTAGGATGCTTCAACCTCTTTTCAAAGGTAAGCATCAAGCTGTAGGAAGTCAGTGAGAAAGGGAGAGAGTTTGGGACAATTACATACCATTCTTGGATAGGAGGTGGAAGGAATGACCTCCTTTTCTTTGTGGATGAAATCCATTACACATTTTTAATGGCACAGAGCTACCTAAGATGATTCTCTTGATCATCTTGCATACCCACCGCTTACTAACTGTCTGACCTTAGGAACTCAGCTAACCTCTGAGTCTCTGTTTCTCCACCAGCAAAGGCAGATGATAATACTTAGACTCGGGGCAGCTAGGTGGTGCAGTGAATAGAGAACCAGACTTGGGAGTCAGAAGGACCTAAGTTCAAATCTGGCCTCACTCACATAATACTCAGTAGCTATGTGACCCTGGGCAAGTCACTGAACCCCAATGGCCTCTCCAAAAAAAAAATAATAATAATAATACTTAGACTCGCAGAATTGACTTGAAGGTCTAGTAAGGTCATATGTGTAAAGTATAATGGCAGCTACATAGACTAGAGGGCCGACCCAAGAATGCAGAAGACATGAGTTCAAATTTTCCTACTTATCAGCTGTGTGACCATGGACAGACAAATCCTCCCTCAACCTCGGTTTCTTCCTCTGTAAAATGGAGATGGTGATAGCACCTACTGCACAAGGTTATTGGAAGGACTAAATGAGATGATCTACGTGAACCTTAAAATGGTATATCAATGCTAGCCATTCTTCTTCTTCTCAACCATAAAACTTTACAATATGCAAAAGTTAGTTGTTGTGGTGGTTGTTGTTGTTATTATCCTGTCCCACACTCTCTTCTGTTCGGTCTGCCTTGATTCTGGAAGTAATTAGAGATCAGAGTCATGGGGGGTGGGCTGGGATGGAGAGGAGGTAAGGACGCTCAGGATAATTGGGATTGGAGAGGTGACTCTCCCTGCCTAGGTCCTTTTCTTTCATTCTTTGAGCACTGACTTTTTCATACCCAAGATATCCTTTTCATTGTCATTATTATGATGATGTAGGGAGACTGACAGCCAGTTCTTACTAATGCTTGACGTGCTCATTTTAAGGTTTATTTCTTCAGTGAGCACATAGAGTCTACCAATATCTTCACAAAGATATCTATTCTCTGGCAAGTGGGCCAGAGATGGTGAATTGGCCCGTGAAAGAAGGGGAAGGGAACAGTCATTTATTAAGTGCCTACTATGTGTCAGGTCCTGTTCTGAGTGCCTTAAAGATATTATCTCATCTTAAGAGCATTGTTGGTTCCATGTTCTGTCCAGTACATTTCTTATCTCTAACAAAAAACAAAGGAATGTATGCCATGGTAAGGGTATGGTCATCCATTATGATAACCTCAAAAGGTGAGGCATAAAGTCAAGAATTTCTAATTTTCTTTAAGTTTATATGGATCTGAGGTTAATGAATATATTTAAACCTTTCTTGTACATAGATATTTTTGAGTCTGTACCGTCTATGATGATAATTCAGTACCACAAACACTTATTAAGTATCAGTTATACATAAGGCACTGTGCTTTGATCCAGTGCAGGTCAGCACCTTCTCTGGAATGTTATCTTAGAGGGGTGGATACAAAATAAAATAGTCCCTGCCCTCAATTAGCTTACATTCTACAAGAGGGTTATAATATATGTTCAGAAAATTTCAATAAGGAAAAAGTATTTGGAAAAGAGAAGTATCAAGGAAGGTTTTGTGGTGGAGATTGCACCTAAGCTATGCCTTGAAGGAAGCTGATTCTGAGATGTAGAGGTGAAGGAAGTGCATTAGAATAGAACAGGAAATGTTGGGCTTGGGAAATATTAATAGGCAATTAGGGTAGGACATAGAGTTTGTGAAGGGAAATAATATGAACTGAGTCTGGAAAGGTGGACTAGAGCTAGACTAGAGAACTGTCATACAGAAGGATTAAGACTTCCAGAAGGGTAGAATTAGAACCATAGGACCAATGTGCGTGAGATACAGCAAGTCAGGTTGTGGTTTAAATGTAAGGACTTCCTAAGAGGAAGTAAAATAATTTAAGGTGATTTTTTAACTTGTCACTGAAAGTCTTAGTTGAGATAGCACAAAAACCCTGTGAGGTGGACAAAATAAATGGTAAAATTTTTTAGTTATATTCTCATTTTGGATGAAAATCCGGCTGAGAATTTACATACATACATGCATACAAACATATATATGTATGTATATGTGTGTGTACACACTTGTATATACATACACATATGCCTCTATAATGTGTATATATGTTTGTATATGTAATACTATTGTATATAATATAGCATGTATATTTATATATTACTAGTACTATTATATATATAGTTACATATTATATCTTATTCCAGAGTCAGTATTTTAGAGCCATTGGAAATTTTTGATCAGGAAAATGCTATGGTGAGGCCTGTGTCTTAGAAATATTAATTTGGCAGCTTTGTGAAGGAAAGAGAGCTTTGTAAAGCAGAGTGAATAATTAGGAGACTGTTATAAAAGTACAGGCAAACGTGATGAAGGCCTGAACTATCTGTGTGCTCACTTTACTCTGCATCATTTTACACAAGTCTTCCCAGGTTTCTCTGAAACTCCCCCATTCATCATTTCTCACAGTACAAGAGCAGCCCAAGGCCTTCATAACCATAACTTGTTCGATCCTGAGCTAATGAGCCCCACCTCGGTTTCCAGGAGCTCAGCCTCTCACAGAAGAAGCATCTGCGGTGGAACACAGAGCTTACTGATGCATAAAAAGAGCAGATCCTTGGGGGACCCAGTCTGTCTACTGCTCCTACCTGTGCCCCACTGCCTTCTTCTCCCTTCCTCCACTTTCTGTGACTCTTTGTATCAGCAAAATTTTATGCAGGGCCACTCTCCCTTCCATTCATTACCTTTCTTAATTAAACGCACTGGCTGCAAACAGCCTGCCTGGAGCCAGACATGTTCTCTCTGCATGAACGGCCACACCTGTGCCCTTGTGCCCCCTCTCCCTTCTTCCAGTTCTTCTTTCCCACGGTGCTAACATCTTACATGAAGAGAGCAAACTCTGTAGTGGTCAGGGGAGATTTTAGGGGACACTCAAAGAAGTTATAGTTGGAAGTAACCTCTGCAGCCATCAGTCCCACTCAATACTGGAGAATAATCCTTTTTGTTATATTAAAATCCATAGTCTTTACCTCATTGTTTTCAATTGTAAATAACCATATGCAAACCAACAGTCCTTGATTTAAAAAAAAAGAACTTTATCAAAAGACAAAAATAAAATTGTGTGTAGGAAGGAAAAAAATAATACACAAAATTAAGCACCTACTGTGTTCCAGGCATTACACTGGGTCCCGGGAATACAAAGATAAAAACAAAATAATCTGTGCTCTTGAGCTTGCATTTTCTCCTTGGAAATAAAATGTACCTATATAAGTCAAGTAAAAATATATACAAAGTAATGTAGCAGGGATGGGAGAAGGACCAGAAGATGGAGGGATTAGGAAAGTTTTCATGGAGGAGATGGCACTGGAGCTGAGCTTTGAAAGAAACTATGAATTCTGCTATAAATATCTTGTGATGGTTACTTTCTTCTTATCAAAGTGGAATCTCTGACTCAGTGAGTATGGACATTTTAGTTACCTTTTTTATATAATGCCAAACTGCTTTCCAGAATGGTTATACTAATTCACAGTTCCACAGATAGGCACCAGTGGGCCTATCTTCTCATAACCGCCTCGACATTGACTATTCCCATCTTGTGTCATCTTTGTCAGTTTTCAGGGTGTGAGATGAAATGAAACATTAGGTTATTTGAATTTGCCTCTCTCTTATTAGTGATTTGGAGAATTCTTTCATATGGTTAGTTACAAATAATTTACAATTCTGAACTAGGGATTCTGAGAGGCAAAGGTGTAAAGGTATTCCAGGCATGGGGGCAATACCATCCAGGGTAAGATGAATACTCGGTAGACCAGGTTATGACTGGAATATAAGAATACAAAAAGGGAAGTAATGTGTAATGCGGTTAGAAGGATAGATTAGAGCCACATTGGGAGAGACTTGAAATACTAAACAAAGGAGTTTATCTTTTATCCTAGAAGTACTAGAGAGCCTCTGGAGCTTTTTGAGCAGGGTAGTGAGATGGTCAGAACTGTGCGTTAGCAGCTATGTGGAGGAGGGATTGCAGAGGGGAGAGGCTTGAAGCAGAGAGGCCAGTTAAACTATCTCAGTAGTTCAGGTGAGAGGTGATGAGGGCAGTGACAGATGAGAGAGTTATTATGTAGTTAGAATTTACTGGCCGCACAGCAAGCAGCTGCTTGGATATGGAAATGAGGGAGATAGAAGGAGGAGGAGGATACACATTTCTTAATATTTTAATTCTTGTAACTTACCACAGTAACAAAAACTTGTTCATTTCTGCTCCTCTCATGGGATGTCCTTTCTTTCATGTGGATTTGTTTACAAATGAAAACAGTGTTACTAGTCAGAAAGTTTCTGTTTGTTCCAGGCTTGGTCATAAAAATGGAGAAAGCTCTACTTTAGGACAAGTGGAGTCAGATTTCAAGCATGGCCTGTAATTCACACCTGAGCTTGTCTTGGACATCACCTCTAGAGGGAAGAGGAGTCATGCTGAATCATTCTTGGGAAATACCCATTTTGTAGCTTGCAAAAGTTTAGGAAGAATAATTCAGTCATTTCCTGAAGGCTGGTACAGCAAAGTCCATGGCCACTGTACAGTAACAGTTTGAAGAATGATTATAACGTGAAAATAAGCACCAGGCAGGTGATGACATAGGACAAGGCAGTCTGAACCTTTTTGGTTCAACATTTCAAGTGATTTAAAGATTTTAAGTGATTTTCTAAATTAGGATTGAATTTACCACAGCTCATTTTGAACAGTATAAAGCTTAATTCAATTAGATATTTATGTATTGAATATATGGTTATACATCCAATATTTATACAAAAAATGTATATACTCTACATGATTATATATAGAATATGGAATAAACACTGTGTTCCATTTTGTGTGTGTGTGTGTATATAAAAAACATATCATCCATATTCTGCATGATATGTAGATAGATATAGATATAATCTATATCTAGAATGTATACTATGTATGTGTATATATTCCAAATACAGAATATATACTTAGTATATGATCTTATATGTACTCTATAGACTACATCTATATAGTCTGTACATACCTATATGGTGTATATGGAATATATACTGTGTATAGCATATAGATATGGAACATATACATGTTATATATTCCATTTTGTATAGTATAGTGTATATGCTATACAATATATAATATATATTTTGTGATATAGTATATATTTTATTATATCTAGAATATGAAATACATGCATACGTTCCATATATTCTATGTATCATATAGAATATGAGATATTTATTTATCCTGATAGGTCCAGGGATTTGTGCTGCTTCTAAGTTGCATTTTAGAGATGAAATTTGGGGCCTTTGTAAGTGTTTAATAAACATGTGTTGAATGAAATTAAATTGAACGGAAGCTCTTGGAACATCAAGTAGGGACCAAGAGACCATACTAGGCATTTGGCTTTACAAGGGTTACACAATGGAACTCATGACTAATCGAGTGTCGTGTAACTGCTTGATCAGGGTAGATTTGTTGGCACCTTTGCAGAGCTGTAATTAGGAATTCTTGTAACTAGAGCAAATTCAGTTGATGGGGAGGGGAGAAGAATAAAGTCCACTCCCCAGCCATTTAGACACAGTCATATTGGGAGAGGTATCAGCCAGTACCCTAGAGAGTCCAGGTTGGAACCTGGTTGTGGGCCATGATGCTTAGGGACCTCAGGGCAAAGAATGGCTGAAATGAGGATGAAGTAGTCATCCTACCCTAGGTATGGCTCTGCCTCGTAGCATTTCTGTACTCTACCCTTCCTAACAGTTGTCCTTGATTTTTCTCCCTTACAGATCTTGGATGAGGTAGAAAAACGTCGGGGCATCTCCCCTGCCTTGGTGCAGCCACTCATGAGAAGCGTCATGGAAGCCCCTTTCCCAGCTCTGGGCAAAACCATCACTGTTAAGAACTTCTTGCCAGGCTCTGGAACTGAAGTGAGTGACTGGACTGCTCTTGTTCTTGGAAAAAGGGAGGCCCCAGCTGCCAAAAACAGTCAGATGAGGTCTACTGATCAGTAGGGAACAAAATGCAAGTCTTTCTCTCGTTGGATTCCCAAGACTCATACGAGGTGCTCCCACTCATCAGGATCATTGAGTCAGTCTGTCAATAAACTTTTATTAAGCACCAGCTTTGTGCCAGGCACTATGCTGAGTGCTGGGGATACAAAAAGAGGCAAAAGACAGTCCCCGCCCTCAAAGAGCTCACAGTCTAACGGGGGAGACAGCAGGTGAACATATATGTACAAACAAGCTATATATGGATAAACAGGAAATGATTAATAGAGGGAAGGCACTAGAATCAAGACGGGTTGGGGAAGGCTTCATGGAGAAGGTGGGATTTTAGTTAGAACTTAAAGGAAGCCAGGAAAGTCAGGAGTTAGAGCAGAGGAAAGAGACTGTTCCAGGCATGGGGGACAGTCAGAGAGAATGCTGGGAGGCTAGAGATGAAATGGTCTTTGTTTGTGGAATGGCCAGGAGGCCAGAAGGACAGGATCAAAGTACTCTTCCTGTGAGGGAATAAGGTGTAAAAAAACTGGAAAGGTAGGAGGAGGCTAGGTCACGAGGGGCTTTGAATGCCAGAACATTTTGTATTTGATCATGGAGGCGATAGGGAGCCACTGGAGTTTATTGAGGCAGGGAGGGGGGACATGATCAGACCTGCATTTTAGGAAAAGTCACACTAATGGTTGAATGGAGGATGGGTGGGAATGTGGAGAGACTTGAGACAGGCAGACCCACCAGCAGTACTGTAGTAATCGGAGCCTGGGGTGTGATGAGGACCTGCACCAGAATGTGGCAGGGTCAGAGGAGAGAAGGGGGCTTATTCGGGAGATGCTAAAAAGGTGAAATCAACAGGCCTTGGGAGCAGAGTGGCTGAGGATAGTGGGAAGTCCAAGATAACTCCTAGGTTTCAAGTCTTAGGGACTGGGAAACTTACTACGTGCCAGGCTCTGGGCATATAAAGAAAAAAAGTGGCACAAGTAGAGTGAGAATCTAATCCATCCCGTCTGAAATAATACCCCTGATATAAAACCTTGGGAGGGAGGGTTATAGACGTCCATGGCAATTTTCTTGCCGGGGTCATAACCCCAACCTTCAGCAGACATTGGTCCTTTATTTAAACTAATGTTCTGATGCAAGCTGTATCCCTGGCTAATGAGTACAGGAATAATCCCAGAATTCAGAGGTGGATTGAGCTAGGTAGGTAGGACCTTAGAGGAAACCCCATTTTTTATAGATACCCAAAGACTTACAGCTAATTAGCCAGACCTGAACCCAGGTGTTCATATTTCCAGTTTTTCCACTACATCATTCTGTCTCCTTAATGCTCTTGTATTCCTTTCCCTGAAATCTCATGGGCCTGAAAGTCTAAAGACCTGGGTTCCAGTCTCAGCTCTGCTGTTAACTAGCAGTATGACCTTGGTTAAGTCAGAGTTCCCCTGTGGGCCTTGGTTTCTTCCTCTGCGAAGTCCTGTGTTAGGTGGAGCCCTCACCACTGAACTCATTCCTCTGGCAGGTGATTGAACTGTGTCGGCCCCTCGACTCCAGGCTTGAGCACGTTGATTTTGAGTCTCTCTTCTCATCTCTCAGCATCAGGCACCTGGTTTGTGTCTTTGCTTCCCTACTGCTGGAGAGGAGGGTCATCTTTATTGCGGATAAGCTCAGGTACACACCTTACCCTTTTATATCCACTTTATGTTGGTGATAATCGCTCATATAATGCCATAAAGTTTATGAAGTTTCTCGATCACAACCTTCACCATAAATAGTGACTCCTGTCCAATCAAGTGCCCCTACTGGCTCCTCTATCTCCTGGAGAAAAAAAATAAGAGCCTAAGAACAAAATGGTCACCCCAAGATCCCACCTAACTTAATCCCTAATTTTCACATCTAGGAGTGAGGCAGGAAGGGAGAAAAGGAAAAGAGAATGAATAAGAAAAGGAAGGAAAAAGAAAAAGATTGGAAAAGAAAGGTAACATAAAAGAGGTAAAAGAAAGAGGCATATGTGTTATGGAAAGCATTGAGAAGAGAATGCAAGGGAGACAGAGTTGGAGAGGAGGAAGCCCATTGGACTGGACTAGACAACCAGCATCCTGGGTACTGGTCCTGGTCCTGCCACTAGGATGCCACAAGTCAAAGCAGAGCTGGGAAAAAAACCACTGATGTGGAACTGAGTCAGCCCAAAATTCCTGGAAGGAAACAATATTTATAGTTTTCAAATATTAGAATTTTTAAATATATCCTTTTACTTTGGATCCATGTGGGGCCAGACAAGAACCTAGTGTAGGTATTGACTAAAATGACTAAAATGATGATCATAAATCATGAAATCACAATCAGTTTACAGGGAGCAATCCTGATGACTCTTGGATCCATAACTTGTGGGAAGGGAGATATAACCTGCAGGATTCAGAGTAAGGATTTTAGGCTAAGGAATGCAGGTGAGTAGGTAGAGGCTATATCTGGCCTGGAAAGTGTGGTTGGATGGAGGGAGGAATAGACATACATAGATAGATAGATAGACAGACACAGACAGACAGATAGATAGAGCAAGCCTGGCCTGCTAAAGATACAAAAAAATTCAAGAGACAATCCCTGCCCTTGAGGAACTCACAATCTAATGAGGGATACAACATGCAAACAACTACATACAAACAAGCTAGATAAAGGATGAATCAGAAGTAGTGAACAGGGGCAGCTAGGTGGTACAGTGGATAGAGCACTGGCCCTGAAGTCAGGAGGACCTGAGTTCAAATCCGGCCTCAGACCAAACACTTGACACTTACTAGCTGTGTGACCCTAGGCAAGTCACTTAACCCCAATTGCCTCAAAAAAAAAAAGTAGTGAACAGATGTAATGCACTAGAATGAAGAGAGATTGGAAGTCTTCCTATAAAAAGTGGGATTTTAGCTGGGACTAGAAGGAAACCAGGAAAGTCAAGACTAACTCCTTACAAGGAGCTCATATTCTAATAGAAAAAATCAACACATAAAAGAGAGCTGGAGAGTTGGAAAGAGGGAAAAGAAGGGCAAGGAAACTGTCAAGAAAGTAGAAAAAGAAGTCTGGAGAGTGAAGTTGGGTTAGAAGAGTTGGAATAAGCAAAGTGATTGGGTGTAGCTAGAGATGGGAAGATAAATGAAGAGAGAGCCAAGAAACTTAAGTGTTCCATATTAAAAAAAAAATCTAAGGACTGTGCTTTAGCAAGTACACATAACTTACACTGGAGAGGGAGGAAGGTGAAAGGAGGCATTTAGATAGCATAGCGGATAGAATGTTGAACTTGTAGTCAGGAAGACCCAAGTTCAAATCCTGATTCCTACACTAGCTATGGCACCCTGGCTAAATCATTTAACTTGTCTATGTCTCAGCACCCTCATCTGTAAAATAAGGGATTTGAACTTAGTGGACTTTAAAGTCCCTTCCAACAATAAATGCATGATACTATGATTCACCATTTCTTCAGATTAGAGAATGCCAGCAAGAGTCTCTAACTTCATATATAAATTCTAGGGAGTTTCATTAGGCTTGCTGCGATGTAAGTTGACTTGTACAGGTTTGAATCCAAGGCTTCTTGACTCCCATTCAGTTTCCTTCTGACCAACACTAATATTGTGCCTTTATGTCAAGGGTTCATTACCTTTTTAGGGTCATGGAACCCTTGACTATCCGGTGAGGTCTGTTGACCCCTTCCTAGTAATCAATCAACCATGTCAGTCTGCCCAGGACAGGAGAGACAAAATATGACAATAAGGAACATGTGTTGGGGACATACTGTGGGGAGAGATAGAAGGTCAACATCTGCAATTGTCCTCCTTCCAGCTGCAGGTCTGGTTACCCTAGTGTTGTTACAGACACACACACACACACACACACACACACACACACACTTTTTTATGTAAACAATTTGCTCTGTTTTGTCATATCCTAGCTTGGATTTTTAAATTATTTATTTTTTTGGCTATTCATTACACTCTCATTGATTATTTTTGAATGTTGCCTTTGGCAAATTAAGGAAGGAAGCTCTGTCTCTTTAAGCTTGGAGCTGGAGCCTGGCAGCTGGGCAGCTTTCTGATTCCCTGGGCACTGGGGAATGCAGACAAGAGAGTTCTCAAAGCCAGATGAGAAATGACACTCCCGTGACCAAGATCCAATTCCTCAGCAGTCTAGTAACACCCTCTGGTTTTTGTTTTATTTTTTAATTCCTGCTCCCTTCCAACTTCCCGATTTTGGTGACTTTTCGTCAAGCAGTTCTGCAACTGTGGATTTGGAGGGGATAGAGTCATAAGACTTCAGAGACCAAGGCAGGATACAGAAGATAACTCTGACAACTCTAGTTATCGATCTCTGGGCAGGCAGGAAGTAGAGGTGTCAGTTGTGGGATGAAAGATAGAGAGGCATTGTGCTACAATAGAAAGGTACTATAGGGGCAACTAGGTGACGCAGTAGATAGAGTGCCAGGCCTAGGGTCAGGAAGACTCTTCTTCCTGAGTTCAAATCTGGCCTCAGACACATATTAACTGTGTGACCAAAGGCAAGTCACTTAACCCTCTTTGCCTCAATTTCCTCATCTGTAAAATGAACTGGAGAAGAAAATGGCAAGCCACTCCAGTATCTTTGCCAAGAAAACCCCAAATGGGGTCACTAAGAGTCAGACATGACTGAAGAAAAACAATGGAATCAAAAGTCTGGAGTCCAGGGGCAGCTAGGCAGCACAGTGGATAGAGCACCAGCCCTGAAGTCCGGAGGACCTGAGTTCAAATCTGGCCTCAGACCAAACACTTGACACTTACTAGCTGTGTGACCCTGGGCAAGTCACTTAACCCCAGTTGCCTAAAAACAAAACAAAACAAACAAAAAACAAAAGTGTGGAATCCTGATCTTGTCTCTTCTATGTGACTGTGGGCAAGTGTCTTTGGCCCTCAGTTTCTTTGGGTTGTTACTGGGTTAGTGGTTCTTAACCTTTTTGTGTCATCGCCCCCATTAGCATTCTGTTGAAACTGATGAACTTCTCAAAAAAAAATTTTTAATTCATAACTGAAAGAAATGCTAAATTTCAGTTAGATGTTAGTGAACATAATGATGTAATTTCTTTTTTTTTTATCCAAGTTCACAGATCCCCTGAAATCTACCTGGGTCCCTGGTTAAGAACCCCTAAATTCAGTGATCTCTAAATTCCTTTTTTTCACTCTGACACTCTATGATCTTTTTCTAGAGTTGTACTGGGGAAAGTACAACCTAGGAAAGATGAACAGGGTCAGGGTATGGAGAGAGATGATGAGTAAGGAAAGATACCAGACCAATTACCATTTCCCAGGGTGGATGGGGGAAGGAATAATAGCAACACAGGATATTACCCATAAAGACACAGTATGGCATAATAGAGCACTAAATGCAGAATCAGATCAGGATTCAGAACCACTACCTGTGTGGTCTTGGCAAACCTCAGTACCTCTCTGTGTCTGTTTCCTCGTCTATAAAATGAGTAGATTGGACATCTGTATTTCATTACTTCAGTGGAACTAGCTGATCTATAAAATCCCATGAACCTTTGTGAGATCTAAGAAGAGAATCAGGTGCCTACATCCCTGGTTCTCATATTACCAAATTATCATATTCCCAGGGCCACTTGTCCCCACACAGGAGAGGGGCTTCTCATGGGTAATGAGTGAAAAATTAATTACTTAGAAGAAGCTTGTTGGCAGATCATTAGGAATAATGATTAACTTTCTTAATTGCTGAGGGCTGCTCGGAAATTTAATACAAAGCACTAGGTAAAGAGATATGTTCTTCCAGGTCTTAATTTTCAGCATATAACAATATAACTTGTTCAGGGTCACATGAAAGTCACTAATGCAATAAGAAATGATAAGGACCAAAGCTCATATTTTCTTTATTCCCAGACCAGGATGCTTCTTCCTGAACAACACTGACATTCTTAACCCTTTTTTGAAGCATTGACCCCTTGGGCAGTCTGGTGAAGCTCGTGGAACACTTCTCAGATTAATGTTTTTAAATGCATAAAATAAAATACATAGGATTACGAAGGAGGTAATTTTATCCCATCCAAGTATCTGTCTACAGTTCATGAACCCCAAGTTAAGAATCTCTGTTTAAGGACACAGGTTTAGGTATAACCACGCATTTCCATCACCAAGACCTGGATATAGGCTGATGTGTCTCGCCAAAGGTTAATTGTTTAAGGAATAAAGCTTCTGCTGAGTGGCTGAGCTCAGGACAGTTGTCGGGAAATGTAAGGCTTATGAAGACCAAACATGCCTTTACTCACTGATGGCTGTGATCAAACGGATGCCTCAAGTTCAACAAGAACAACAATAAAAATAACTTTGGGAGTAGAAGGCTGAACAGAACCTCAGTCCATGAATTGACCAGTTGATCTTCCCTTGTGACAGACATTAGCCCACATAGATTTGCTAGCCATAACATAAACATCTATAGTCTTCTTTTCATGGTCACTGCTACTGAATTATTAACCGATTGCAAGAGGAAATACCAGGGAATCACACCACATACTGTGTGAGCTAGGAGAGGTTTTTTTAGTTGAGCCAGAAAAACAGATCTAACAAGTATAGAGTGATTGCTTGATTTTGTTTCATCTTCAGAATGGATATTGAGTGTTTCTTAAGGTCCTGTCAAGCCAAAATTTG